AAAAAAAAAATCTGCGTGTAAGTAGACCCACACAGTTCAAACCCATGTTGTTCAAAGGTCAAGTGTATATACCAGGGACTATGCTAAACACTTTAAAAGCATAAATCCATGTAATGCTCCTACCATCCCTATACAGAAGACATTATTATCCCCAATTACAGATCAGGAAACTGAGGCTCAGAGAGGTGAAGTGCTTTGCTCCAAGTCACACAGCTGGTAGAGTATCCACCACAGGAAAGCCAGTTAGAATTTTTTTAAAGGGCAGAGGGAATATGGTCAGAAAGACCTGAGGTTGAATCAAGCTTCAGTGCATCCATTGTGACTTTGAGCAACTTAATTTACCTGAGTCTGTTTCCAGAGCTATAGAAAATGGACAGAAAACTGCCACTGGATTTTTATGTTTATTAAACGATGGGAGGGCACCTGGGTGGTTCAGTCAGTTAAGCGTCTGCCTTCAGTTCAGGTCATGATCCCAGGGTCCTGGGATGGAGCCCCACATCGGGCTCCCTGCTGAGCAGGGAGCCTGCTTCTCCCTCGCCCTGCTGCCCGTGCTCTCTCTTGCTATCTCTCTCTCTCAAATAAATAAAATCTTAAAAAATAAAAATAAAAAATAAATGATGCATAACGTGGGAAGGAATCTAGCCCAGGGGCTGGCACATGTAGGTAAGCAATAAATATGCATTCCCAGCACTAGGAGAGCTACACAAGGATAAGACTCAAACCTAGTCTGGACGTTTTGTAATCTGATCAAGAAAACTGAATCTAAAATATTAGGAATCCCAACTCTTTCCAGAAAGGGGCCATTTCATCCTCATTTGGAAACTGGCAAAACTTTTAAGGTCACCCAAAAATGGATCCTGAAGAGTTCACTGCTTCAAAGGTCCCATATTGGGCCAGCCTGGTGCCAACCTGATTTCAGACTTTCAGAATCAGAAAGTGAAGTATCAGTTATACTTCTAGCCAATGACTTCAGCATAACTCGCTTATTTATAATCAGACAAACAACTGGGCAGCTGGAATCTTACCAGGACACCACTTGCACCACAAATAACAACTGCCTGGTAACCTGGTTCATTCCGGATGGATTCCCAAACTCCCCTCCATGGCAGGGACTTCACACACTGGTTTCTAAGCCCTTACTGAAAACAATATGATGATAATGAACTAAGTCAGGTTTAGGAATCCTTCAAATACATGTCAAGTGAAGCCCTAACTGTGGTATTGTGACATTTCAGCCAAAAGGAATCCACATTTACTGAGCATCTACCACTTGTCAAGCACTGAATAAGAACCTAGAAGGGGGAAGGGGGAAAAAAAGGATAAATAAGACCCTGTCTCTGACCTAAAGAGGTCCATCTCTCATGGGCCAGTCAGACATTCACAATAAAGCAATGTGGTCAATCAGGGAAAAGAAAAAAAGAAGAAAAATCCTACACTTGGAATCAAAAGACTTAAGTTCCAACCCAAGGAGCTGTAAGACCTTTGCTCTGAGTCTCAATTTCCTGGTTTGCAATCTGGAGATGATTGTCATTTTCCCCACCTCAAAAAATCATTGTGAAGGGGGCGCCTGGGTGTCTCAGCCGTTAAGCGTCTGCCCTCCGCTCAGGTCATGATCCCAGGGCCCTGGGATGGAGTCCTCCATCGGGCTCCCTGCTCTGCGGGAAGCCTGCTTCTCCCTCTCCCACTCCCCCTGCTTGTGTTCCCGCTCTCGCTGTGTCTCTCTCTGTCAA